GGGGGAGGGTTAGGACTAAGATGTGAATTGAGTTTAGGTTAGTTTTAGGGTCAGGTAGGTACCTGTGAGGTTAATTTTAGGATAAATGGTCAGGGTTGAGCTATAAAATTACCAAAAAATGAATGGAAGTAAATCCACGGTCCCCACAGGATTAAAAAAACAAAAAAACAAACGTTTTATTTTGTGTGTGTATCATTAGCCTGGCCCTTGCCTTCCTACACAGCTCCGCTCAATTCTAGTTTCCCTTCTCTGCTCCCTCTGGGACTTCTCCCATTGACAAGGATTTCACTGGCAGATTTTTAGCCGAACCAATCAGAGAAGAGAACGTCGATTTTCTGCACAGTGTCTGCTTGTAGTTTATTTTACCTGGGCCAATCAGCAAACAGAAGGAGGAGTTTTGAATGACGTTGATATTCTGCGCAGTGTCTGCTAGTTATTTTAGCATACAGCAGTGGAGGAAGTGAATGAAGCCAGTCTGTGTTGATAAGGCTTCCAAATTAAAATAAATTTGTCTGACAAGGCAGCAGCTCTCATTTACAGTCGTCTCGTTTGGCTCGGTATATTTCTCCTCTCAGTAGGGTTGTTTACAGCACGAGATTTCCGGTTAGCTTCTTAGCGTAGGCTCCTTCACACCGACAACACACACATGCTTCAGCAGAGGCCACGCCTCCTGCAAGAAACACTTCTTTATGCAGCAAGTCCAGACCCTTGTACGAACCAAAGTGAAGGACAGGGTCTGGTTTTAACCAGGCTAGTGTGTCATATCCATATCAGATTTTAGTCAACCTCTTCTGTTTGTCAGAAAAATGAACCAAAGTGATAAAAAAAAATAAATGCTTGAATAAATTATCTTTGCAGTCAAAATAATGTATTTTAAATTAAATTACATTTCAATGCATCTTCATTTTTAATTATAATTCCATAGCTAAACACAGAGGATTATTGAGCTTTCTTTGTAAAAATGTGCAATGTAAACACATGTTCACACATGATACGGATAAAGATAGTTGGGTAGTGGACAACCCTTACTAGCTTCAACTTTTGATTACATTTATGTGAAAATGTTACAAACATGTCGGCAATGACACCAGCTATGGACATCAAACTTGATCAAACAATGTTTTTTTTTTCAGATAGTGCAAATATGTCCTAAACCTTACCTCAGCATTGTTATAGTAGGCAGTGCTATTCTTCTCCTGGACATCTTCTCCTCTGGCTGTGAAGAACGTCAGAGGGTAGAAATCCTTATGGGAGGGCTGCTTCCCACTGGCCATGAGCTTCCCATCATAAAACAACTCTGATGTGTAGCTTTAAAAAAGGTTCAAAAGAGGTACAGGAGAAACAAAAATGAGATTGTGCCATTTAAAGAAGCTTTACCATTACCATCCATCAAACCTGAGACAGTCAAAGAATGTAAACTGATGTTGCCATTTGCAGCTGTATGAGGTCCTAATGGCTTCTGATAGAACACGTCAGAAAGCTTATTTCCTGTAAAATAATTTTATTGATGCATTTCTCTATATCAGAAATGGTGAAGCTTGAACAATTGACTAAAAACAAATTTACTGTCAGAACGACCTGCCGTGTTTTCACGTAGCACATTTCTGATACAATATTACACAATAAGGGACAAAAATGACCATTCATACAAGCACAAAAAACTACAATTACACAGAAAAACAAGGAAAAAAAACTTCAAATAAACTGTTTTTCAGAACTAAAGTAGAGAACATGTCTGAAAGAAACCCTCCCTGTGTGTTTAAAAAGCTGTCAATCAAGAAGTTCAAAATTAGATTTGTTATTTACAAGCTGTTGTGACAGTCTCCTAACAAACGCACCAACTCTTAGATGGCAATCGAGTAATTCTTGACGAAGAAATTCTATTTGGTCTGTGAGATTCTGCCTTCCTCAGGATGACATTTTACCACAAAAACATCCATCTTTCTTGTCTTTACCACAACCGTTTTCACACAAGGCATCGTTAAGTGCTCACACCTACTTGATGATAGCTTCATGGGAGCGGTAGTTCTCACACAGAAGGATGCGACAGGGGAATTCAGAGGGGTAGTGCTCATACAGCCGGTCCAACAGGGACACGTGCAGGTTACGCTCCCGAGCAAACTCGCTGTACACAAATGGACTCAGCTGCAAAGTAAAAGGACAGAGGGCTTGTGAATTGTTTTCAAAACATACCACAAAAACAGTTTTTTTCATCTAATAAAAGTAAAATTAACTTGGTCAAGTGTTAACTTGAAGTTATGTTATCCATCTTCTAAATTACATTTTAGCTTCTTCCGCTGATTTAAAATGGCAAAACAAGTAACATTACAAAACAGTCTGAATATTTTTTGCAGGATAGGTCTTTGAATACATAAGACTCTTCAAAAAGCAGGCTGGTGTTGAAATACTCAAAATACTGCACAACCACAAACAGCCATTGAAATAACTCAAAAGATACGTATCTTGCAAAACTGAACATATTCGTGTGAAATTAAATTTTTCTCAATTTTCTTAGCAACTATGTTCATTTTCAGTCTTAAATAACTAACAGTTTTTTTAATCCTAGTGAGTTTTATAGTTTGCCAGGTGACGTGCAAGACATTCTTTAAACAAACCTCAAGCTCCAGTGATTGTCAAAATGTATTTACAGTGTTTGACAAAAGTTTCACACAAAGCAAAAAATTTGTTTTGTTTTTACTATAACAGCAAAGCCCCTGTATTTACACATCATCTTCAATACAAAAAGACGCTGCAGAATAGTGTGTGACAGGTTTACACAAGAACACTGATAGCATTTGAGTCCTTTCATCTTTGGAGAAACACCAAAAATAACTTGAGAGTTGAGCGAGAATCTAATGATGCTTTAAAAATCAAAACTGTTTTAGTTTAAAATCAGAGATAATGGTTTCCATCTTGTTATAACAAAAATTAAGGGTAGCTTTTGTTAAGCAAAAAAACCAAACTAAACTGAAAAATCTGTTCATTTAAAGTGGACATATGCTTTTAAATACTTTTTTCACCTTTAAATCACTCAGTTGAGGTCTATATTAAATGGAACTACAATGTTTTAGCCTGAATTCATCCTTATTCTAACTCGACAAGCTGCTCTTTCACTTCTTTTCTGAGGTGTGTCTCAGATCAACTCGTTTTAAAATTCCATCTTTGAATCAAAACAAGATGCTTCACACCCCGTCCCCCATCCAGCTTCAAGTCCGGTTTATTCTAGTTTGATAGAGGGGTTTACGACTTTCTAGCAGCGCAGAAACCTTTTATTTACAAATTAATTAAAATATGTCAATAAGAGAAGACTTGTCCAGACTTGTCCATCCAGCTTTGCATGTTGGAGCAAGAGTCTGACCCAGAGCGAGTAGAGAATGAAGATGACCAAATTGTAGTTGATAAATCCAGATCTTATTTGGCAGTGATGTAATAGTTCATAAAACATCACAGTAAATGGAGAGAACTGAATAGGCTGAAAAATATGACACAAAGTGAATATTAAGATATCTACACAGCACTGGGAGAAACTGAAATCAACGTTTCTGCACTCCTAGAGACTCCAGATACACAACAAAATGCATTTAATGGCTGAAAAGTAGATTATGCATATGTCCTAGGGGTGTACGCATATTTTATGTCCCGATTTTGTATCAATTCTCTGAAGCACAATATCTATGTTTAATTAAGGTTTAAAATGCAAACTTTCGTGCCAGCAGTTCATTCTTGTGCTGTAGTTTAGCCTCCGGCTGCTAGTTGGCAACAGTCAGCCAATTTGGCTTCTACACTCCTAAAAAGCCAGAGTATAATGCAAGCTCAAATGTTAGCATCGTGAGTAAACTTTAGCACTAAGTATCGAGCACAAGCACAAGTTAAAGGTCAATGTTATTGTGTTGGGTGACCATATTTTTTATAATAAATTAATATTATGAATCTAAAAGCTGCCACAAATATATTATGAAACTATTTGAGGGCACATTTTGCCTAACCATTGAAAACATAGATGAAATAAGAAATATGAAACATTTAAAATACATATAAATCTTGTGGGTTTTCTAAATTAGATTTTTTAGAGAAAAATGGCAATATATTGCAATATATGACATGATATGCACGATATCACAAAATTCTTGCCAATACACAGTCCTAATATGTCCCCTTTAAAATGCATTTTAACTTAAATGGGTCTGATTCCATCAACTAAGGCATAACACTTAATGAATATTACAATAACATTTAACCACAGAAAAGAGAAGTATTATTGTAGAAGCAAAATAGAGAGAGTGGAGGAGAAGAACAAAAACGAAAGCATTTTTCTTAACCTAATATAACCTTTTTGACGGATTACAAAAGCTAATGGAGGAAGGTGTAAGAGTAATTGAGAGAGACATAAAAAGGTGTTCATAGTGTTTCAATCCTGTTTTTCTTTGTATACAGAAAAAGCAGTGAGAGATTGAGTTAAATTAAACCATTATTTTTTGGCAGACTTCTGCGCCATTTTCATCCATTTCTTACTGATAATCCTGTGCACTGTCTCAAACCCAAGAGACAAGAAAATGAGGTTTTAAATCCCTGGTCTGACTTAGAAAGCTTGACTGACATGAGTTTGTATTTGTGTTATCTTTGGCCGAAGTGCTTACAACTTTACAATGGAAGCAGTCATTACTGAAACTGCCGCTGTATGCGGCTATGTTCAGTACTTTCTTTTAGGCATGCTTTAAAAAAAAAGAGAAACATTTTCCAAAAATAAGAAAAAGTGTGTAAGACGACATCATTTGCATGATTTAAACACAAACTAAAGACAATTTTATATCCTTTCTTTCTGTAGAATTACAAATATTACATCTTCAACACATAAAAATACATAAAATCTTATGTACTTCACGTGTGCTCCTGTTGACCCTTCTTACCTGCATGTGGTCCCCAGCCAGCACTATGCGGGTGGTCTTGCTAGCTAGAGCAAAAGGCATGATGGTTTCACACTCCATGGCCTGGGCTGCTTCATCCAACAGGATGTGAGTAAACAACCCTGAAAAAAAACAAAATACTATCATTAGTAAACTTTTAACTACATGTGGTATTCCGTATTCTAAGATAAACTACAGTGGTTTGCAAAAGTATTCATACCCCTTGAACTTTTCCATATTTTGTCACATTACAACCACAAACATAAATATATTTCAC